TAAAGAGTAACTCCACTTTTTTTGAGAAAAAAATATTCCCCTCTGGGTGATCTATGCACATTGCAAGGATTTTAGCAAACTTTGTTTCAGATTCCAAGCTTTTGTTATTCTGAAGAAGTAGCTGTTTGTTTGTTTGTTTGTCTAAGTCAATTTGTAAAATTAATGTGAATGGGTGTGATTTATAATTATAAATCAGCTGCTTGAAAGGTGGCATGGTCTCCATCCCTTTATATGTGATTCTGTTTGGGAGTACCTCGTCAAAAATGACATTTTTGTTGCAGGGGATGCTCAAAATCTGACATACGAGGTGGTATCAAAAAGTTTTGCGACTAGTTTTGTAATATGCCAACAGATGGCATTATCGAGGATTGAGCTCATTGAAGGTCTTCCTGTTTTCTCGTCATCTTCCAGTGATGTTCTTCCACTCTTTAAAGCACATGTGCCAATCAAAACACCTCGAATTACTCATTGCAGGACATGTCAAACATCTCTGTGGTAGATTTGCACAGGTACACACAGCATTTAATGTTTGCTTTCTTTTCTAACTTGCTGTCCATGATGAAATAGCAGACATGGTAACACACATAGTCAGAATAGCACCAGCTGCACAGCTTTCATGTACACAGGACGATGTCTTTTGGCACACCGACTTATGAAGTTCAGTGCTCCCTGTGACTGTGTGTACAGCCTTGTGGCACTATCTGTTGGTGTGTTACAAAACTAGTCTCAAAACTTTTTGATACCACCTTATATATCTTAGTGCAGACTTCTGGAAAATCAGTGATCCAATCACACAAGCAGGAAATTACATTTCTGGGGGTGTTCTGTACACCATCTGTATACAGAATGCCTCCAGGTTGCTATATTGCATTTTACAGATGATTACAACACTGCAGATTGAAAAGGAAAGTTAGTTTTTAATAACATTCAATTACAATATTACTTGTGTTGCAAATGCATATTCTATATAATTATTTTTAAATTATTTTTCCCATGGAAGTAGTTACCATTTAAGGGCTATACCTGGGTCCCTGAACACCCACCAGGCCCTACGCTTCTATCTAGGTAGCCTTAAAGAGGATGCTGCTTTCACCAATGGATGATATCTGAAGTTGCAACTTCCATTTTGAGTAGGACAAAGAGAGGGACTGGAGATTAAGACAAGCAGAAGTTCTTCTGAATCCGAAGTTGGCCCTGACAACATTTATGACAGAAACATATTAAACAATGGTGAATAAAATATGTCACTACGTAACCTTCATAGCCTTCCCTGAGCCAGCTAAAAAAGAAGTAGATGGGTCATATCATCTCAAGGCTGGCTGAAATCGTTTGTGATTTATGAAATACAAGTGCTGAGTTGCACAGTTGCTCACAACCAGACAAGCATGTGGTGGACTCTTGAAGTCTGGTGAATCACTTCCATTTTTAGCTGATGGCATACTTCAAAATATTCAGAATTCACCTGTGAAGTTTAGCTTCCCAACTTCCAACTAATTTTACTCCTTGACAGAGAACTTTACTTCCATAAAAGCTGGAGGGCAGAAGTTCAGTAAAAGTGTAACACTCGTTTTGTAGACACCGAACTATTCTGTTACTGAATTAAAATAAATGTAGATATTCTAATGTTTACACCAGTCTTTCTTAACATTTTCAACATCGAGGAACCCGTCAAATAACTTTTCAGACTTTGGGAAATCCTGCATCTGCATCTCATGATACATTAATGTGATGGTCAATGGGGACAATTCTCCTTCTGCTTGTGGTCATTGGGAAGCATTACTGTCTTACAGATAGCTTAAAGGATCACTGGTGTCAGTGGAAATTTAATTGAGGCAGAAATGTGTCATTGTTCAAGGAACTCCTAGCAATCTCTAGAGCAATGGTCTCCGAACTGTGGCCCGGGGGGTTGGATGCGGCCCTTTGCTTGCCTTTATCTGGCCATTGGGGCACTTTTCCTCCCACTGACACCAACAGTGAGGCATAATTCTTGCTACTGCCATCAACAATGGGGCACTATTTCTCACATTGATGTCAGTGATGGGGCACTATTCCTTCCACTGACACCCCAAATGGGGCACTATTCCACCTCCCAGTACACTAGATGCATTGTTTACTCCCACTGACGCCAGGATAATTTCTGCTCCCAATGGCCATAGTCTGGCCCTCCTGAAGTCTGAAGGACAGTAAACTGGTACTTTGTTTAGAAAGTTTGGAGGCCCCTAGAGGAACCAAGGGTTGAGAAACCCTTGTTTATACAAACAGACAAGGAATGTATAAAGAAACTGAGCAGAAATGTATTATAAATAGCCAATATTAGACATCAAGGGTCAGATCACCCAAAACCGATACCTCAAGAGCATGGAGGAGATTCCAGGAGACAAGGCATCTCATACAAGGCAGGACCTACAGGTATAAAAACTGATACTTCAGTTTTAATAGATACTGTGAAGTTAGGCTACCAAGTAATATTTTAAATATCTGTTGGAGACTCTACTAGCAGGATCTCTGCACCAGGGTACCAGTGTTGGTGCACCTGCTTTGGCCGTTATAAAGAGGTTCCTATGCTACCAAGTGAACAGGAACACAGCTGGAAGTTATTACAGGGAGAGCTTACTGTTGGAATATCTAAGACATATAATAAGGTTGGGGCTTACTCGGACCACCAGGATCCATTTATATATAAAAAAAATGTTTTTTTCGCTGGACTAAGGCTTTAAATGTTAAAATATACCTAACCAAAACAGAATCTGTTGGTCTTTTGATTATTTACAACAATAAATGACACTTTGAGAATTTTGAGCAAAAAATTATAGTAATTGAATGTTCGTTTAAAGGAGCTTGACTCTGCTTGATGGCCATTGACTCAAACAAGGATGGTAATGCAAACATTCCTGTAGTACATATCTCAAAAGTCACGAGAATTTGTACTGATAATTCAGGTAGCCTTGGCTACAAGTGGCAGTGAATACAAAATTATACGTTTTACATTTGTAAGAAAGGAATTGATAGCTTCTTAGGTTTGCTGTTGCAGTATGTAAGCTATACTGTAAGCTTATCCCACAATTAGTCTAAATTAGTGTCAGTCTTTGTGTGAGTACATGAAGCCATTGGTAAAATAAAATACAGACATACCTATATTGGCTAAAGAGACAGCAAAAGCCTCCTTTCACAAGGGCAATCTGATCAGGTCTGTGTCAGTTTTTTCGGGCTGACCTGATCGGATGGTCCATGTATCCCTTTGTACTGGTGGGTGTAAATGGACTTGTGTCCGTTTACACCCGCCAACCTCCAATCCAATCCGGTCCGCTAAAAAAAATGGAAGGGGATCCATCCCCCTCTATCTAGGCAGATCGGAGGTCAGCCAGGTGTAAATGAACAGCGAGTCCGTTTATACCTGGCTGCCCATAGAGCAGGCTCTCACTGTGTCTGGTCTGCATAAACTTAACAGACACAAATCTGTCATTTGCCCACTCTGCTCTGTTCAGCAGGAGATCAACAGACGGATCCCCTGCTGAGCAAATCGGATTCTGTCCCTTATGAAAGGGGTCTAAAGATGCCTAATGTCCAAGCCAGCAAGGTTATTTACAACCTAACCTAATATTAATCTGTTTTGTATGACTGTGTCATGTCTTCAAGGTTGTCATGTATCTGCTTAGATATCAAAACGTTGTGGCATTCACTATGGTCATGCGTGCTGTCCTCACTTGGCCACAGTTATTGTTCCCTGTATAAATCAGTAGTTTTTAACATATGTCAATCAGGTAGAACCAGGACTGTAGAAAACCCAGAGCTTGGATACGAGGGCTTTCAAGATCAGTTAAGGTTGGTGTAAAGTCGGTTTTTGCTTTGTTTTTATGCTTCCATACAAGTCAGTGTGAATGCAAGAAAAGGGCATGGAAAATGCATCTCAGTCTCAGACATTCGTGTACACTAGCCCTAATTTTGCCCATACAATACACATATGGCCAAAACTTTTTTTTTTGTTTTGGAAGGGTCAGTTCCTTTTTTTGCTGTATGTGTTTTATTGAACAGATTTCCCAAGATTTCCCCAGATTCCACGGGATTCCAAATCACAACAGAACACATGACATTTTTTGGTGCCATTATTCCAAACCACTTGACCTCCAGAAGGTTTTACTCCCTTCATGACCAGGCCATTTTTTGCTATTCAGTACTATGCTACTTCTCAACTGTTAATTGCGCTGTCATGCAACAATGTACATGATTCCCCAAGATCAGTTAAGGTTAGTGTAAAGTCGGTTTGTGCTTTGTTTTTATTCTTCCATACAAGTCAGTGTGAATGCAAGAAAAGGGCATGGAAAATGCATCTCAGACATTCATGTACACTAGCCCTAATTGTGCCCATACAATGTGGTGGCATGTCAGGTGTATAGGAAAGGCCTGATTACTCTCAGTGCCACAAGTCATTTGAGTACGACCAAGTGTTCCATAAACTTTCAGGTTAGCTCTGCTGACCTAGCAAGAATATGTCAATTGGGGGAAGGGACAGGAACGCAGGCAGACATTATCAGTGCCACTTTTCATGGATGAGAGCAAAGCAAACTGGGCAGAATTTTTAAACTGCCCTTCAATGTTCCTTTCCAGTTTTTGACAGGGCTTGTCTGACTGTCACCATAGATTGGAAACCAGCCAAACTGGGCAAATGTCATCTCATATCTATGATACACTTTAATCTATTACACGTGAATTAATCAATTATTAATCTACCACATGCATGACATGTACGGTATAGAGCTAATGCTTGATTACAAGACCTATGTTGTCCCCGAAGATTGATATTAATCTCTTCCATTAAACTAGTACAAATTATTACTTTGACTCTATGTTCTCTTACTTCAAATGTGCATTCTTAAGGATTAAACTATTCATGATTTATTATGTCTAAGGATCTTATTTTAGCATAACGCATTTTGTAAAGGTAAATTAGGCAGAAAAAGACTGTCAAAATGCAATGAGCAGCATTTATTTTCCTTTCTTCATCACTCACCTGACACTTCTACAAATCCATCTCTGGTTTTCACTGTCAGCTCCTCTGGCTTGAAACTTTGTACATTAACACACACCTTCCAGGGCTGGCTGGGGACAGACACAGTATTGCGGGCTTCGGGGTATCCTGTGTAGCGGGCACTATATCCAGGTGGGGAGATACCAGCAGTCCTTGCTAGGCCTGATCTTAAAGGACCTGACCAGGAGGCAGTGAGTCTGGGCCTTGCCCAATCAGGCCAGTCCATGGTTAAATCTTCTGGAAATCCAAAATCATCATCCAGGAGACGGGATGAGAGACCCTGATCACGGAAAGGATCGCGGACTCCCCTGGGTCTGTTTGCAGGGTAATGACAAGTGAAAGGTAACTGACTGTCAGCCATATCGGAATAAAGATGTAGGAGATGTCAATGCAGACAAGGCTCTGTTATTTCCAAATGATTTTGCTGGCGGTCAGATAATGTTTGCAGCTGAGGCCGTATATTTCCAATGAATGAATAGCAAAAGAGTGAAGTTGAGCCAAGATAAATTAAAAGTAACCTGAATTCTTCAGGGATTTAAGCAGAGTCATTGGGAGTGAGTAGAGCTTCTTGATCTTCCGGCTTTAGACTGCAAGTGACTTGCACTGGCTAAAATAAACATCACAGCCATCAGCCGAGAAAGTTCTGTAAACTTCTGTGCTGCAGTGAATGGCTCCTATTTATATCATCCTCTAATGCTTGCAGCCTGTGGCCTGTCAGCTGGGTATTTGGAGCCTATGAAACACCCTCCAAGAATCTGCTTTTGTAACAGCTGATGACTCCCAGAAGGGACTGGACTTGTTACTCAGGGTGTCCAATTTTAGACGGCCTACTCTTGCAGGATCCTCCTTTCTTTTTTCCTCCCCCTCTCCTCTCATCCTCTTTTTTTTTGCTAAGCAGGGATGTGTCTGAACACATTAGTATGAGTGTGCATCTGCATTTAGAAGATGCCATTCCTTGAATTATGATTTCATTACTGGAATTAAACTCAAGCCATTTACATTTGCTAACTTCTCCTCTTATATATTTGGATCCTGTAAATAATATCGTTTTTATGCCTTATATTTTTATTTTCAACATCAAGGGATATATAGTATACTGCATATGAAAAACCGACGATAGGAGGAAATTGTTGTCACTTTTTCTAAAAAACTCTATTGGCCTTCTTTTTGTCATTGTCATATAGACCATTACACAGTGAGGTCCCTTCTTTATAACAGATACACATATGGCCAAAACTTTTTTTTTCCATTTTGGAAGGGTCCGTTAATTTTTTTGCTGTATGTGTTCTATTGAACAGATTTCCCAAGATTTCCCCAGATTCCGCAGGATTCTAAATCACATCAGAAAACATGACATTTGTTTGGTGCCATTATTCCAAATCACTTGACCTCCAGAAGGTTTTACCCCCTTCATGATCAGGCCATTTTTTGCTATTTAGTACTGTGCTACTTTAACTGTTAATTGCGCTGTCATGCAACAATGTACATGATTCCCAAGATCAGTTAAGGTTGGTGTAAAGTCAGTTTGTGCTTTGTTTTTATTCTTCCATACAAGTCAGTGTGAATGCAAGAAAAGGGAATGGAAAATTTAACTCAGTATCAGACATTCGTGTACACTAGTCCTAATTGTGCCCAGGGGCGTATTTACCACAAGGCAAACAAGGCACTTGCCTAGGGCGGCATTTTTCAGGGGGGCAGCACCTCCCCCAGAAAAAGAGATAAAAGAAAGGACACATGCATCATGGGAACCAGGTGGGATCCGAGACAGGTTGCGGGCTGCTTGATGGTGTATGTAGAGCCTAGCTCTCGTTCCCGGAGACACGTCTGGAGCTGTGAAGATGAGTGTCTCTCTATCGCCGGGGGAGAAGTGGAAGGCCCTCTCGGGTGGGGGACAGGGGTGTTGTTGGTCAATGTCAGTCTCTTTCTGCGAGAGGGGGAAGGGGGGTTGTGTTAGTTGGTGTCTGTGGGGGCAGACAATGTTTGTGTTGCCTAGGGCAGCACAAAACCTAAATACACCACTGATTGTGCCCATACAATGTGGTGGCATGTCAGGTGTATAGGAAAGGCCTGATTGCTCTCAGTGCCACAAGTCATTTGAGTACTGCCAAGTGTTCCATAAATTTTCAGGTTTGCTCTGCTGACCTAGCAAGAATATGTCAACTGGGGTAAGGGACAGGAATGCAGGCAGACATTATCAGTGCCACTTTTCATGGATGAGAGCAAAGCAAACTGCCCTTCAATGTTCCTTTTCATTTTTTGGTCAAAACTTTTTTTTTTTCGTTTTGGAAGGGTCAGTCCATTTTTTTTCTGTATGTGTTCTATTGAAGAGATTTCCCAAGATTTACCCAGGATTCCAAATCACGTCAGAACACATGACATTTGTTTTGTGCCATTATTCCAAACCACTTGACCTCCAGAAAGTTTTACCCCCTTCATGACCAGGACATTTTTTGCTATTCAGTACTGTGCTACTGTAACTGGCAATTGCGCTGTCATGCAACACTCTACCCAAATTAAATTTATATCACATAAATAGAACTTTCTTTTAGTGGTATTTGATCACTACTGGGTTTTTTATTTTTGTGATATGAACGAAAATGACCAAAAGTTTTAAAAAGAAAAACAATATTTTTTACTTTCTGCTATAAAAAACATATCCAATAAGAAAAATTGAAAAAAAAATCAATCTTCTTCATAAATTTTGCCCAAATTGTATTCTGCTACAAGTCTTTGAGAAAAAAAATCCCAATAAATGCATATTGATTAGTTTGCATAAAAGTTATAGTGCCTACAAACAATCGTATATTTCAGGGGTATTGGTCACTAAAATGTTCTTCTGGCTGAGGTCATATCTCATGTTTGTGCTATGACTCATGCTATGAGAGTGTAGTCACTGTATGTCTGTAAAAAAATGAGAAATGTACAATTTCCATAACAAGGAAAGAAGGGGTGGATGGAAGGGAGGGGTGGGTGGGTGATAGGAAGGAAGGGATGGATGGAAAGAAGGAAGGGATGGGTGGAAAGAAGGGAGGGGTGAGTGGAAGAAAGGGATGGGGTGGGTGGAAGGAAGGAAGGGAGGGGTGGGTGGAAGGAAGGAAAGGGTGGAAGGAAAGAAGGGGTGGGTGGGTGGATGGAAGGAAGAAAGGGAGGGGTGGGTGGAAGGAAGGAAGGAAAGGGTGGGTGGAAGAAAGGTAGGGGTGGGTGGAAGGAAAGGAGGGGTGGGAGGAAGAAAGGGAGGGGTGACCATGGTATATTTAATTTTTTTTTTAATACTACCAATGGCACAATCAGCGATTTATAATGGGACTGTGGGAGTGCGACGGGCAGTCTGACACTAACTGCCACTGATATCAATAGTGACATTAATACAGTGATCAGTGATAATGCTATACACTGTCACTGTACTAATGACACTATAAATACTAGTGGCTGGGAAGGAGTTAACATTTAGGGTGTGCAAGGGCTTAAAGTGTGCCTAACTATGTGTAATGTGTGTAAAAGTGTGCTGCTTTTACTAATTGGTCTCTAGGTTCCTCATCCCTGCTTTTCATGAACACAGAGCTCTTGGCTGTGATTGTACACCGATCAGCAGCTGTAAATCATTGGTTGGGACTTGCTGACAGACTCCTGCTGTGTACATTCACCGGAAGAGGGGCTTGGGGGACCGCACACCAGAAACCCAGGAGAAGGCAGCGATGTACCTGAGGATAATTATCTCCTATGATTGTCAGCTCTGTCAAGTGGACATAATGCAGTATATTTTCCTGAAATACCTCAATTCATAAAAAAAATGTATTATGGTCACTAGATGGTGTCCATCATGCAACTGGTTAAAATATCTACACAGCAAAGTCATATTCAGACCCCTTGGTGTGTCCCAGGCAAATAAATATGTATCTGAGAAATGAGTACATTAATGAAGGGGACAATGGCATGGTATAACTTTCTGTTACAGTGTGACAACACACTGTCTCTGTATCCCAATTCTTTTTTTTGTGTTGCCTCCTTGTTAAACACTCCCATGGAGACTACCATAGTAGAGACAACTTAAATTACATGGGCATGCTCCGCTGTTGTCACTATCACGAAACCCATCCTGAGAAAGCAGTGAAGCCATCTCTGAAGAACATGTAGTCATAAAAAGAGTGCAAAGAGGCTGCAGGAGATGAGCAGTACTGAGAAACAGATGGAAAAAAGTGAAAACAAGTATTTCATTTTAAAAATAGCAATCGCTTATGACATACAGTGCTTTGGCAGACTAAATGTCATTTAGTTAAGGTTTGCAAGTACTTCCACCTGAAAAACTCTACTGTAGCTGCTGACTTTTAAAATACAGACAGTTACCTCACCGCCGGTGGTTTCATCGACCATCTTCTCTCCCTGGCATTGGCATCTTCAGTGTGGGCACCCAGCTGGGACAGCTTGAGGCTTCACAGCAGGGTCCCCACTGCGCATGCACGCAAAGTGTTGTGCTTTGTGAATGGTCCTGTAGTCTTCTGGGACCTGTCATGTGTCCCAGAAGACTATGGGGAGGGAGGAAGGACAACTTCCGCTTCCGATCGCCTAGTCGATCACAGCGGAAGTGGGAGCGGGTACCTGTCAAATCCGGGTACCCGCTCCCCAAAGGTGCCAAACCTTAATGGGGAGCGGGGGACAAAGGCTTAAAGTGGAACTTCGCCTCTTGGGTGGAACTCCGCTTTAATGTTCCTAGGTCCACCATCTTGTCAGTTATTATGAGGAGGGTGGGTGTTGGGGTCTCACTCTCCACTTGAAGTTACATAGAATGCAGCAATGAGACTAGGCTCCATGGTCACTGAGGACTGAGGAGTAATTATATTTAAATTCTGAAGTCCTGGATGATAAAAGAAGACAAGGACTCAATAGCTAAAATATGAGTTGTGTGCGCCTGACCTAAAGTGGTATTAAACCCAAAAGCAAACATTTATTATATTGCAGCTTGGCAATTCTTAGATGTGGTGGCATCATTTGTTTCTTTTTTAGGTTTTCTGTCCTTCATTTTCACCTGGTGATCTAGCCAGTAAGTGTGTTGTTTTTCAACAGAACAAGCTGTACTGCAGATGTAGCAGTTAGAGGGTTGAAACAAACCATTTGCCACAGACAGGAGTGCTTACAACAATTAGTTTTATTGATTTATCCACTTGCCCTCCAGAGGATTTACCCCCCTTCCTAACCAGGCCTTTTTTTTAAGATACGGCGCTGCGCTACTTTAACTAACAACTGCGGGGTCATGCAACGCTGCATCCCAATGAAATGTACGTCCTTTTTTTCTTTCGGTGGTATTTGATCGCCTCTGCATTTTTAGTTTTTGCGCTATAAACAAAAAAAGACCAATAATTTTCA